GAAGCAGTTTGCTTCCTAAAATGGTATAAATTGTGTCAGTTCGGGAAAGGGGAGGGGGTGGGAGGCGTTAAAATAATATTATACAGTTACAATGTCTTTGAAAGAATCCCAGAGGAAAGAGAGAAAGATAAAAAGAAAGATAGAAAGAAAGACAGACAAAAAGAAAAATAGAGAGAAATGGACCATCAATTCTGAAAGAAGAACTACAAACTGTCTTTGAGAAAATAAAATGAGAAGAGACGTGGTTTTGATGATGTCCCCGTTGAAGTGATTGGTTGTCATATATTATTAGAGGACTTGGGTACTGAAAAAACAAATTCTATCAAACAAGTAAAATAGTGGTAAGATTCTAGAAAGGAATAAGATTAAGTCAGCCTTAATGGCTTTGCCTAAATCCTTAGGTTCTGTGCAGTGTGGTTTGCATAGAACAATACGCCTTGTATGATTTATACAAGCATTTTTGCTTCGAGTACTACAAGTGTAGTGGGGGGGGGGGGGGAAAAAAAAAGACAAAAAAGACCGGAGATTTGACTTTGTTCCTCACAAGGTAGCATGAAATTGTATTCAGCGTATTATTCACCCTAACAAAGATAAAGGAACGATGAGTGAGAAGCTCATGAACATCTTTATTAATGCTTCATTGGTTATACTTTTTCAAGACCTTTTGATTAAATTAGACATAAGTAACTTGTCAAAACTTTGATAAAGCTGGGCGTAGATGGAACAGATTTCAGAAATATCAGGGATTTGCATATGGAACCAGAATGCTATTGTACGATTTGAGTGAGAGCAAGTACATGTACAATTAATACTCATCATTAAAAACATCAGATACAGTGTAACTCGGATTCAACGAAATAGGATTCAACGAAATTGAAAGTCAGGCCGACGACTTCGTTTCATCCGAGTTTCGCTGTATCAGTTTTAATTGAGGATTTAGAAGGGAGAAATTATTTTATTACTTTTAGATACGGTTGTTTTGGAATGTGAATGTAAAGCGTTGTTTTGGGGTTTTTTTTAGGAAAGGAAGATGGATTGCATAGCAAATATAATCTATCTAACAAAGGGCAAAAACGTATTTGTAATTTGGCAATTAATGATCAAGCAAGCAAAGCTGTTCAAATAACAAGAACGCAATAATATAACTATTACACTCAATACAAACAAGATGTTCTACAGAAATAAAAACTACCAAAAGTAGTGAAAAATAAAATGGACGCAATAGAATGTGATTTGTCAGGAGTCAACATTAATTTTTTAAAATTAATTTTCAGCTTCCAATCTTTGCAATATACAACTAACTACTAACTATGACAGTCAGTGTAAGTCTATTTCGGATCACGAGTTTTATCTTAAAAGACAGCACATTCAGTTTTGGACGAACTTGATTTATCAATTCCACCTGATAGATATAATCTAGCTTTAAAAAAAAACCCACAGTGCACATATCTGCCTTAGTCTGGTATAAATAGCTTAATGAATGAGGTGATGAAAGTGTTTTGAAGATACATGTATTCAAAGCAACTGGCTGTTGAGAGGCAAAGATGTGCTGTTGTTTTACTTTGTTTTGGTTTGGTTTATGTAATATATATAATTTATACGTACATGTATATAAAGTATATCATGTCTAAAATATGTTTTCTTATTTAAAGTGTGTATGTGTGTGTGTGTGTGTGTGTGTGTGTGTGTGTGTATCTGTGTGTGTGTGTCTGTGTGTGTGTCTGTGTGTGTGTCTGTATGTGTATGTGTATG